CATCATCATCATCAATATCTGAATAAAACATCATCATCATCATCATCATAATCATCATTATCATCATCATCATCATCATCATCATCATCATCATCATCATCATCATCTTTATCTGAATAAAACATCATCATCATCATCATCATAATCATCATCATCATCATCATCATCATCTGAATAAAACATCATCTTCATCATCATCATCATCATCATCTGAATAAAACATCATCATCATCATCAATTTCTGAATAAAACATCATCATCATCATCAATATCTGAATAAAACATCATCATCATCATCATCAACATAATCATCATCATCAGCATTATCATCATCATCATTATCTGAATAAAACATCATCATCATCATCATCATCATCATCATTATCATCATCATCATCATCATCTTTATCTGAATAAAAAATCATCATCATCATCATCATCATCATCTGAATAAAACATCATCATCATCAGTAGCAGAAGCAGCAGGTGAAACAGCAACAACATCGACAGTCATGTATAAATCATCATTATTATCATCCTCGTCATGGTAGACAATATTTTCGTCGAGTATTGTGGTAGGATCTTTAAAAGAATATTGCCATACTCATTTGAATAACTTGATTCTTTATGCTGACTTACTCTGATTTCATGTACGCCTTATTTTGTTGAAGAACTTATCTAACTAGGTCACAAAGACCTTGCCTTCAACTTAATTTTGCGTACATCGGCACTAACAAGAACGTGTTTCCAACAAACTGTATGATAAATGTAATATTATTTTTATTTTCATGTTCGTGTTTTCTATTTATAGACCGTATTAAAGGGCTTGCTCATATTAACAGGATTCCAGTAAAAGAAGCCGACAGCTCCGGGAGACGAATGCAAATTGATGAAGATTATGTATCTCATATTGTCAATATGATATCTTTGTGAAATTACTTATTTTCTTTGTTCGGGTAAAAATCTATTACTTTGTATGAATTCCTTATCATTTCTTATTTGTTTATATCGACGATTTCATTTTTAAGGGCCTGAAAATTTAAACGTGACTCTCAAACGTTAGATTGTAATTAATTCATTGAAAGTAAAAGATTTAAAAAATATTTTGATGGGTTTTTAAAGAAATTTTATTTTTTTTTTTTTTTTTTTCCGTTCTAGATATACTTATAATCCTGGCCTGGGTTTTGTGGCCCGGGTTAAGACCGGAAACGGCACACACCACTGATCGGCAACATTAAAAAAATATGTTCGAGACACGAAAACATCAAGGAATATTATGCGTGGGTACCGTAAATCGCAGCAAACTTAGATTTGGTGATTTCAGCATAGTTATTGAGGTACCAACAAAAGACGAGAGCGTGTTTCAACCGACAGGGAAATGTCTTCCTAACCATTTCTACACATATTTCCGAATTTGTCTGGTCATAATTTGGTCAATACTTGGCCAATCTCATTCATCAAACGTTCATTGGAAATTAAAAAAATCATAATTTTAGAGAAAAAAAACGTTCAGATTCCATTGTCGGGAGTTACAACCCTTGTAACTGTATAAGGTATTCATCAAATTTCACTCAATCGAACACTGGTGTTCTACCTAAACATATATACGAATTAGTACTGAGCGTAATACATATAGTTAAAATGTAAGGCAGTCATTGTCTGAGGAGGAGGATTGTCCGTTGAAGATGTCACTAACAAAAAAAAAAGCAGTATAAATACCTATATATTGGGCTTGTAGCCTTTTAAATTGTTTAAAAAAAACATTCTTTGGTGGGTGTAATTACTGAAAAGAACAGTTAAGAATCCTGAAGCAATTTGTGAATTGAAATGAAAACATCCGGCTACTTTTAGTAACTGTTGCGTTCTGGTAGGGGTTGACATCACTGATATTGATACTGTGGACGATTCCTAAAATATCTTTTTTACAGTAAACTGACCACTAGAAATCTATTGCCTCCTTACAGCATTGACGAACTAAGTTTGCTCTTTCCCAAACTTTACACGCTTGGTGCCTTTCATGGCAATATCGTGGTTTTTTTATTAGTATTTGACATCTCCTCCAGCGAAGAATAGCAATCAAACATTTAACATGTTAGCACCTTGACTTGTCCCTCAAGTGGCCCCTTAATCCGTGGACACTTTCTTCCTGTGATCTTTGGTGGTACTAGGAAGTGCGAGCCATCTAATCCTATCAGGTACGCTGTAAGCCCTACAGATGTCTGACCTGATCGTACTGCGATGATCTCTTGATACGGATTAAACTTATCACCCGGTAAATTGATTCCTTTCCTGCATATTAATTTACAGACGAGAAAGATATAGATTCAGTATTAATTAGCCGCTTAGCCGGGCATCAATAGCAATTTCATACAAGGCTTTAATATTTTTGTCTTTTTACTGGTAACTCTAAAAGGCCGATGACTTGTTGACAATATACTATCAGCTGTAGAGACAATATTCTCGCATACATCAATGTGATAGCTAGGGATAGAATAACCCTCGCACATGAGACTTGCTTTAATATTTTTGTCTTTTTACTGGTAACTCTAAAAGGCCGATGACTTGTTGACAATATACCATCAGCTGTAGAGACAATATTCTCGCATACATCAATGTGATAGCTAGGGATAGAATAACCCTCGCACATGAGACTTGTCCCCCTGGTAGACTTGTCCCCCCCCTCTCTCTCTCTCTCTCTCTCTCTCTCTCTCTCTCTCTCTCTCTCTCTCTCTCTCTCTCTCTCTCTCTCTCTCTCTCTGGTCCCAGTTGTATGATACGTTACTATTGGCATATTCAATCGTCTTTTTGAAGGATAAATGGAAAGGAATGATATTTGAGCAAATTAGGAAATAAAACTATAGATGAAAAAAAGTTTTGTTCAATTTCAGCAAAATGATTTATGACAGGTCCGGGCTATCAATCCTGTTCTTGTGTATGTGTATGTGTGTGTGAGGATGAGGATCTATTATTGTATATAGATGTCAATAGTTATCTCAATATGATGAGGATACTGCATGATTATGATGACAATGACGGTATTAACTGTAAATAAGGATGAATGTGAAGCTGGGTGAGCTTATGAATGACAAGGATAGTGTTTTTGTTTCTTGAGGATGAGAGTGACATGATGTTAATGCCAAATGACCATGTAGATGAAGGAGTAAAGAGCACTATCAATGATGGTGGTGATAAAAATTCCTAAGGATGATTGTGACATCGAGGATGATGGCCCCTGAAAATGATGATGATTATGATGAGGATGATGGATCATGCTGAAAATGGTGTTGAATGATTTGTTGATGATGATGATGATGACTATGATGATGATGATGGTGATGATGATGATGATGTTTTTGATGATGATGATGATGATGATGATGATGATGATGATGATGATGAAGACGAAGACGGTTGTGTGGATGTGTTGTGAGGATCTGTATGAGTACGTCCCAGTACATTGTAATATGATTTGTAAAAAATGCTTGAAAAAAATAAAAAGATATAAAAAAATCAATCCTGTTCTTTTGATTGGCTGATATTTATATTTATCATTAGGTATTCCTTTACAAAATGGCGATTTTGGGATTTCCTTTCCTGAAAAATTCAAATATCTGTATTCAACGATCATAATAATGTAGTCAAATATTTATTTGTGCAGTAATATACAACATAACTGGTGTGTTCATGGGGACCTTTCCACTGATCGTTGCGTGTATATTGTCTGTCCAAATTGAATGTGATTGTTTCAAGCGGACGTTTGACATGTTCGTTATTTTCAACATGACATCAACGATGAAAACTTTGGCATGTATGACACAGTATTTTCACATGGAAGGAGCTGTTGAATTCATTATAAACTGACCTTTGATACATTTATTCTTGTCAATTGTTCTCTAACTATTATTGACGTCTCGTCTGATACACGGTGCCATTGTCAACAAGAGGGAATTCCAAGGCTCTAATCCAGGGAACGATTCGTTGACTAAATTGACCAATCAGCTTTGTTTTGGTCAAAATTTTGACCAACATGGTGGCTCTGACATGTTTTAATCTCAATCAGCGCAGTCTAGTGGAGAAAAGTTGTAACTAAGGCAGGTAGTATAGTCTAATAGTCTTGTCTGATCGGCATAGTACCTTCACGCGGTGTTTGTTGCCAAATCACGTCACTATGAAATGGCGACATAATCTTTTTTTATTTTTGATGCCTAACCGCAAAGGGAGGTAAAGGGAAATTGGATATTAATCGAGTTGAGAAAGGTTATGCAAAATGCAATTTAGGCAAAATATTGTATGAGGGAAAAACCATTTATTGTAGTCTCGTGCTGACATTCTGTAACATATAATTCTGGACTTCAACTCGAATGAGATTTCAGGATGTCAGCCCTCGACTGAAATATAGAGAATACATGGTTAGTCTGGCAAGCCACATCTGTCTTTCTGTCCCGAGACACGAATCATGAATTCTGAATATTGGAACTTAAACAGTTTTATTGTTCAATCTGTGTTTACCTGATGTTGACGTTACGCTGAATTTTGCCTGATGACGGACGCCAAAGTTAGATAAGTAGGCCGATACTATTTTCAGATAACTTTATTATCCAAAATGATGGAGGTCTGAAACATACAAAAAGTAACATTGTAAATAAAATCAACTATCTGTTGGTAAGACATAAGTAATAGACTAACAAGTAAATACATAATCCTCTATCCCTCCCCGAGTCATTTATAAGTATTTTAAATGACTGATTTAATGTTTTTGTCCTTGTGGGAAATATGGATGGAATAAGTCTATTACTGTTCATTGTCACTGAAAATGTGATATGCCTTAACACTGTTATTACATTGTGAGATCAAATTATGTATCAATTAACAGTAAATGTAACATACAAAGAAAATGAAATTAAAATGATAAGGCACTATTTGTACATTAATTAAAAAGTAGAAAAGTAGAACTGTCATTGGGCAGACTACCCTCCAGTTCGGGGATTATTCTGCCCCATTTAATGCTCATAATCACTAAGCCATTTTGGCTCTTGTCGTTGTCGATTAGGACGTCTTGGGGTAAGGTCAACGGACAGTTGCTCTGGTCTGTTTGTCACGATCCTCCTGGGTGTGACTGGTGTTGCAGGTGAGGTAGTTGGAGGATGTGGTGACGGGGGTAGCCTGGGCGATGCTGGAGAGGGAGACAAATTAACCATTTGTGGGGATCCGTCCAATGCCAAAGGTGTTTGCGGTTTAGATTGGACTGTATGAGACGTCCTATCCTGCACAGGAGGTGGACTGTTACTCAGATCTTGTGAAGCTGGTGCACGCTTACTGATCCCTTGTGGATTGATGTCCAGACTGGGCTTCAAAGGATTTGCCGGGACCACTGGAGTTCCGCTCGTCGGTGGTGTAAAGTTTGGAATGTCCCTTTTGAAGAAATGTTTCAAGTCCTGCTCTATGGATTGCTTTTCAGGGGGAGAATACACAGGTGTATACTTGCGTAGAAACTTTCGATTGCGAAGCGTGATTCTGCCCGACCCGTCGATACGTACGACGTATTGGTCATATTGGTGAACCTCTATAACAGTTCCGGTTTTATCCCATTTTCTCGGATATGGTCCAGTTTGGTTTTGAATCCTGACGAGGTCTCCAACTTTTAGTGGTAGCTAAGCGTTCGGCGGTCTTCATGTGTCTGATACGTAAAGCCTCTTCTCTCAGGGTAAGCGTATCACTCCATGTCTCGTGTGGCTTATAGCGGCCTGGTAAGATTGGGATGAAGTCTCGAATGGCCCGCCCAAAAACACACATTGCTGGCGATAATTTCGTATCCCTGTCTGGAGTGTTACGGTATTGCAGCACTGCACGCTGGAAGGAGTCTGTGTCCAATTCACCATTTGGACCAGTGTTGTTTGTGATCATGCGCTTCACAGTCTTCACGCCAACTTCTGCTCTACAATTGCTATGAGGAAAGGCTACAGAAGAAAGCCTGTGGTGCACACCCCATGTTTTTAGGAAATCTCTGGTTGTTGAAGCTGTAAATTCCGGGCCGCCATCAGAAGACAGTTCATCTGGTATTCCAAATGTGACGAATGTGCGGCGTAAGCAATCAATAAGGCCAGATGCGCCATCTTGTGCCCTTTCAACAATTGGCCAATTTGAGTATCTGTCTACAATCACCAGGTAATTACCGCCTTTGTAGTGGAAAAAGTCGGCACAAACACACTGAAATGGATATAAGGGGTAGACAGATGGAGTTGGCGGGGCGCTGGGTTGGGATGGGGCATTTCTGTTGCAATGGTTGCATGAGTTTCTAAGCTTGGTGATGTCGTTGCATATGCCGGGCCAAAACACAGATGTTTCTGCTCTTGACATCATGGATGAAGTGCCTTGGTGGGCTGAGTGTAGCGCTGTCAGCACGTCTGTTCTCAATGAAGGTGGTATCACTATTCTGTCCTTATATATGATGACTCCATCGATAGTGGAGAGGTTGTTACGGAACTGATGATATTCTCTCAGGGGAACTGGAAGATCGTTTCGTGTTTCTGGGATGCCACTTTCAATCATCTGTACGAGCTGGAACATGTACTCGTCGCTTGTTGTGGCAGTCCTTATTCTATCCCAGGTTATACACTGAAGTGAGGTGACTGATGACAATGCTGTCGAGTAGAAGATAGCTTCGCTACTTTTCAATGGGATTTCCAGTGTATCATCTGCGATTTTGTGATTATGTGTTTGGATGGTATATTGCGCCTCATTCTTGTTGCAGATATGAACAGAAGCAATATCATCGATTAAAACCATGCTATCAGATTTCCCAACTGGGTGACGAGAAACGGTATCAGCAGCTCGATGTTTGGCGCCGGGCACGTGTAACATTGTGAATTTGTAACGTAGAGTTTTCTCTTTTAGGTTACGAAGTCTTGAATTAGGAATATCTTCTAGTGATCTGTCACCAAAAAGTTTGATTAAGGGCTTGTGATCCACAGCGATGATTAGCTTGTCACATCCGAGAACAAAGTATCTCGCTTTTTCTAAAGCATCAGCAACCGCAAGTGCTTCGCCTTCTACGGGGGCATATCTGGATTCGGTGGCGCTAGTGAACCTGCTCCCAACAAGAGTTATTTTCCATCCGTCTCGGCAACAGAATGGCACGGTTTTGGAGCAATTGCAATGTTTTGGAAAAGCCAATATCCGATGCCATTCTTTGACCAATCTGTGGCAAGACAAGTTGGTTTATTCTTGTCAAATATCTGGACGCCGTGTTCTATTTCACTGATAATAACTGCTTTTGATTCTTGAAAAAGACGCTCTAGAGTGTCATCCCAGCAAAATGGAGTTCCAGGTTTGAGTAGTTGTCTGAATGCTTGCATCCTGTCAGTCATGCTGAATGCATATGACACTTGATTTACAAGGCCGAACCAAGATCTCATATCAGTTATGTTCTTAGGTGAAGGGAAGTCCAGAATTGCTTCAAGATAACGGCTGCATGGTCGCACACTGTCACGAGTAATTTCAAAGCCAGCAAACTGAACAGTATCTTTTGCAAACACAAATTTGTCAGGGTTCAGAATGATACCATTTTTTCCACAGGTTTCTAGCCAATTGCACGATTGAAAGAAACTTTGCTGGATACTGTCCGACCAAAGAAGAGCATCATCTATACACTTTGTTTTGTCAGGAATGTCAGATACAATTTCGTCAAAGCGGCGTGTATATCCATCTCCGGAGGCTATGTATCCTTGAGGCGCTGTCTTATATCTGTATCTGCCCCATGGTGTGATGAAGGTGGTCAAGTGCTTGTCCTCGTCACGGATAGGCACACTATGGTACCCATTCCAGGCATCGAAGACAGTCTTTTTAGTGTGACGTGGAACAGAGCGAGCTTGATGAAATGGGGATTGTGTGTGGTGAGTTTCCCTCACTGCATGAACATTTAGTGCCTGAAAGTCTACTGTCCGTCGCGGTTTGCCATTCTTCTTTGCACAGACGACCATACGATGACACCATGTAACTGGTTCCCCGACCGGAACAGGCTCAATAACGCCGAGTCGAACATCTTGATCTAAGCCTGCCTTCACTTCATCCTGCCAGTGTAATGGTACTGGGACTGGTGTATGATGAGCAACAGGTGTGGCGTCAGGGTCCACCATGAGCCGCATCGGTGGGCCTGACATGTGCGGAAGTGGTTGGTGCTGACATGTATTGAAGGTGCTGGATTTGTACCAGTCTAGTAAGTACTGTTGCAGTTTCTCCCGGTTCGCTTCGGTTGCTGGGAACGGCAGAACCGATGGTGCAGGCAGTGGTGTTTCGCGTTTAGGACACTTGCAGTCGTCACTGTCTATACGTAATGTGGTTGTAGAATCCACAGAAGATGTCGATTGTGAACCGTGGTGTGCATAATCATCTTGTGTACTTGGGGAGGACACAGATTCGCTGATGGTCTCTATACTTTCGTTGTTGATGTTACGTGCTTCACCAATAGTTGGAAAGTTCGGTGTTATCATGCCAAGTGATGAACACGCTTCTCTACTAAGAAACACTTTGTCAGAGTTATTGGTAACGTACACAATTTGGGGAGCTTCATAAGTTTCACCTCTCGTTCCTTTGCCAGATATGCGGAGGATGACTGCCCCAAGGATTCTTATGCTGACGTTGTTAGCAGCATGCATCTTCATAGTCACTGGGATCAAATGTTTCTCTGAGATGCCAAGCCGATGTAGCACCTTAATGCCGGCTAGGCAGCTTTGGCAACCTGTGTCAGCCATGGCGGTGATGGTAGCTGTCTTTGGTTTCGGTATGATCTTTGGGTCAATGCCGAAGTGGTCATAGTCTTTAGGGTCAACACGAGCAGTCACATGCATAAAAGGCTGAGGCTGTGACGGCTGGCGAATCCAAGTGTCTGATAGCTGATTGTAAAGATGATGATCAAGTTGAACAACATTTCTACCATAGTTATTGTCATGACTGGTTGCGGCGCAAAGTGAATCAAACAGCACTTTCCTGTTCAGTCTTAGTGTTTGTCACATTTTGTTTGCCTCTGCATACAGACTCAAAGTGGTTCATTCGCTTGCAATTGTTGCATGTATGACCATATGCAGGGCACTCTTTTTTGCGAGTTTGTGGCGTTGCTTTGGCACCATGACCTTTATTTCCACAATAGGTGCACAGTGTCTCTTGTTTTTCAGTTTTCTTAGTCACTATACGAGCGGCACTCTTATTGCGGCGATATGAACTGCTAGCTGCTTCTGCTCCTTGAGAAACAAGTAGTTTAGATGCAGAACGTTTACCCGATTCTTTGGCTTCAACGAATTGAAATGTTTGTTCAAGTGTCATGTTTTGATTTCTTTCCCCAAGGAGATCAAGTTGAATCTCAGAGTCGTTGAGTCCACGAATAAGCACATCACGTAAGATTGTGTCAGTATAGTTGACTTCGTTGTCGCAGCTGGGGCATGGTATTAAAAACTTGCACACACCTGCTTGTCCGCGTAGTCGAGCCCCAAATGAGCGCACAGTTTCTTCACGGTCTTGTGTCATGTTGTTCAGTGCTACCCGAGCTACCATGGTATTCTCTTCACGCACAGCTAGGATCCTGATGGCTGTTAATACATCTTCTTGAGACTTATCCGTCAGCGAGCCACCAGCTGATCTTGTGAGGTCTCTCCGTAGATTCTCATCGCAACACTCAAGAAGCTGTATAACAAGTTCCTTTTCCTTTATTTTAGTGGCTTCTACGTAGTCTTTCCATCGTGAGAGGAAGTATGACCAATCTTCACTCGTGCCAGCGGATGTAATGGTGGGCCGTTTGACTTTTTCCACTTTATTACAGCTTGCAGAAGTCGAGGCTGCTGTGTGTACTAGCGCATGGGTAGTCAAAAGTGCAGCAACGATTGCAGCATCTAAGTCATCTGTTTCAAAGTCACAGTCTGGGATTGGACACTTCACTGAAGGCATCTTGTTTGTGTAGTTGTTGCTGTTATGTGTTGTTAGTGGTCTCTCAGTGGATTGAATCCTCCATCATAGATAAGTAGGCCGATACTATTTTCAGATAACTTTATTATCCAAAATGATGGAGGTCTGAAACATACAAAAAGTAACATTGTAAATAAAATCAACTATCTGTTGGTAAGACATAAGTAATAGACTAACAAGTAAATACATAATCCTCTAAAAGTAATTGCTCCGCACGGAAATATAGTTCCAGACTTCAACGGATATAACAGCAAATTCATTAATTTTCATAGATCAACATGTTCGGTACAACATGTAAAACGGCGGTCATTGCCGAATACAGCCAAAAATTGATGTGGCAGGTGTATTCCGACAATGTGGGTGTAGGTTGCAGGATAAAAACCGACACGAACATATACAGTTAATAGGTTCTACCGATCAGGAGTCATGCAGGTTGTATACAATATTATGATAAACACAGAATACAAAATAATCGCTAGCTACAAAATACATAGACACTATACAAATATCGTACAAAAGACACACACGTGATTGACACCTTTCTATACAAATATTCAGCATTAAGACCAATATTTCAAAGTATATATATATATATATATATATATATATATATATAATTCATTACAACCCCCATCGATAACTTATTTCAAACAACAAATTGTTGTATCTTAACATCATCTTTCCTCGGTTAATGTTACTCGGAATAGTTGCAGGGAAATAACTCCTATTGCAATGAGCTTTATTTGTATTTTTAGTAACCATATTTTTTTCTTAACGATATTTCATTTGAAATAGCACTTCTGTTAAAAACTAACAATTTTGTTCATTTTTGCATTAGCAATGTTTGTGTTCATTACTTTTCATTTGTTTTAGTACTCAATACACAGTGATTGCTGTCAAATAGAAATACAATCTGTTACAAGTACGGAACACCTACATGTATATTATACAACATGATTCATTTTTTGAGTGTACTGTATCTAATCATAGATTGATTACAGGTGGTGTTCACTTTTGTGTCTTTGGAATGTTAATGGAGGACCATCTCAGTCTCGCCTTTCGGATGGTTAACTGTTTGAAAGTTCTCCATCTTGCTGTTAACATTTTCTCCTTTTAATTGGTTACCTGTCTGAAATTTATCCGTCTTGTTGTTTACATTTTCTCCTTTAATTGGTTACCTGTCTGAAATTTATCCGTCTTGTTGTTTACATTTTCTCCTTTAATTGGTTACCTGTCTGAAATTTATCCGTCTTGTTGTTTACATTTTCTCCTTATTATTGGTTACCTGTCTGAAATTTATCCGTCTTGTTGTTTACATTTTCTCCTTATTATTGGTTACCTGTCTGAAATTTATCCGTCTTGTTGTTTACATTTTCTCCTTATTATTGGTTACCTGTCTGAAATTTATCCGTCTTGTTGTTTACATTTTCTCCTTTTTATTGGTTACCTGTCTGAAATTTATCCGTCTTGTTGTTTACATTTTCTCCTTATTATTGGTTACCTGTCTGAAATTTATCCGTCTTGTTGTTTACATTTTCTCCTTATTATTGGTTACCTGTCTGAAATTTATCCATCTTGTTGTTAACATTATCAACATATGATATACAATAGTTTCCTTTGTATTGACTCTTTAGCATGTAACCAAGGATACATGTAAAATTGTTTACCATCCGGGTTACTACCGGAGTATTATGTTCGCAGTATGTATATAAATACACATTTTCAGTAACATGGAGTTAATATCACGGTCGTCATAGTGCTATCTTTGAGATATATGCCTTTTCCCTTGTGCGATAGAAGTTATACGATTTTGTCATGGTTGTGTTGTATACCTTGCTCTCATTTGAGAACGTGATATTACTTACTTGTATTGACGAAAGCGGCTGTCGTCAATTAAGCAGAAGACGCTTATTCTTCTGGGACATCTGGCCTATACTTTTCCAGAAATTTCCATGTAAATCTTTCTTTTGTTCATATTTTCCCTTGTTTCATTTAATTTGAGTTGAATAATAATGTTAATGTATCCTTTGTAGTTTCAGAAAGACTGATATAATCTAATCCGTATTTATTTTTGCATACAAATAGACGTATGTAGTCGGCGTTTCTGGACGAGAAACACACAGAATTAATATTAATATGAACACAAAATATCGAAATTACTTCGAATTAAGACGGCCGGAAAGGTGATATCATTTTGTATTTCACTAAATAAATGTAGTCTTTTAAGACGGAGGGAAAGGTAGTATCATAAGATCAAATTCTTCTTTCAAAGTAACTGTTGTCATTCATTTGTCTGGAAAAGTTTAGTGCACATTTGGGAGAAATGAAAACCTTCGTTTGACTAATTAAGTTATCTATTGAAATCCTCAACAGCAATACTTCAGGATCACGGGAAAGCAACATGTGCAGTTAATAAACATAACATTTTTCTAGTCGCGCCTGAAAAGCACCAACTCCTTCACATATTTTAGTTTAAAAAAAAAAACATACACTGCCGCCTGTCTGTATTGTCACTCCCCAAGTATTAATATACATAATGAAGTTTGACGTTATTTCATAAAGAAATATAAACTTCGCATACGAACGCAGCGTTAACGATAATTAAAGAACAAATGTGTTGAGAATATATACTGCCGGCAAATTAAAAATATCCTTAATTACTCAGTTTACAAAGAAGAAAAAACAACCCGTTTCACGAGTCCCTTTCATGCTGTCTTTTCATCATTTAACAAAGGGAAAATGTTTAATTAGAAATTAACCTATTTCTGTATAGAAACTGTGCCATTCAAGGACACGATAAAAACTTTTTGAGAAATTTGAAACCTCAAAAACTCCCCTAACAAGGTTTTTATTGATGTGTTTGGTCTCACAAAACGATACGGAGCCTAACAATTATTATCATTTCAGCAATAACTGTTTACCAAATGGTTACATACGACCCATAAACGCTATTTTATCTGTGACAAATTTGATAAAGCACAGTTAATGGGTTTTTTTTCAGTGATGAACGTTATATAACAGGACACGTAACACACTTTGTGACGTTGTTAGAACAACAAGCTAGGCCGGTGTTGGCATCCTGAGATCGATCTTGTCCCAATCACGGAGATAGGGTCAGGTATTGAGTCTTACTAACACATACCACAGGACTTAAACACACGAATAAAAGGGCGATAAAAAAAAATAAGAAAAATACCTGCAAATAAATTAAAGAGAAAAATTTGGTCCGATTGCAAAATGTCTCAATGTTACGACCTTATTGTGATACCGTTTACTGTAGAAATGGAATTCGTGGTACATTGAGTTGTCTCGCTTGGTTGCAGTTTTCTATCTGTAAAAGTACGATTTTGCAAGACTTCTTACATTGCTTGTGACATTTCTGACTTAAGACAGAGAAAACCATTTTTGATGTTTTTCGAACGCAGTAACAATGTCGGTGAAATCAATGAAGCAAAATTTATACAGACCAGACTCATCTTAATCAGCATATGCATGCACTTCCGCTACACAATCATAGGGTGTGTAGCACACTATTACATATAATACACATGGGTAATCTAGGGACGGAACTTTTATAGTGCCAATTCACTGAAACGTCCGGCCACAGACACATTAGCATCCTCTCGGTCAATTCGGTATAATAAGCAGCGTGAGTCATAGGTGTGTCATTTTGCATCCCAAACAGGTCCGGGCGTTAATAAGCAACTATACTGAAACACTTTCATTTGGATATGACAATCAAGTCTTTCTAATATTGGCGTTGATGGTCAAAACAAAGACCTTAAATGAGGCAGTGTCAACTGATATACATGTTAGACGGAACCGGAAAAATGCCAGCTCCTGACTGTGTTGGTATAGGGGCACAGGGATCATCGATTATCACGCCCTGCTTCTGGTAAGGAAAAGAGGCAGATCAACACTCAGAACGTCCTCCTCCTCCCTCCTCCTCCTCCTTCTTCTTCTTCTTCTTCTTCTTCTTCTTCTTCTTCTTCTTCTTCTTCTTCTTCTTCTTCTTCTTCTTCTTCTTCTTCTTCTTCTTCTTCTTCAGGAACGTGGTAAACCACACGAGAACCTCCAGACTAAGCTGAAAGAAACACTTGATCCAATACTCGTCACTTTGTTGCTGTTTTTAATTTTTCGTTAACATGGAATCACGGGATTGCCTGTTAAAAATCAGGATACATGTGGAGAAAATATTATCTTGCTCAGATCGTTGATGAACAATAACCAGTAGTTTGATCAATGCCGTCATGCTCAGTTATTTACAAAATTTGTCCCACTGATATATCTTAAATTATCTTAATTAAAAAAGAGTTCCTAGTCGTTACTTATGCAGACAAAGTTGATATCATTGTTTTTGCTTGGTTTGTTCCCGTGTTATTGACCAATGAACAGCCATGGGCATTTTACGGCGGGATTTCGCTGTATTTTTTGTTGTTTCCTCACTGAACATTATGCGCGAGGCCCGTCGCAAGGTATTCGGTACAATTTGGGTAGATTTTCATGGACAGACCAAGACATCATAGGCGCGTAGTAACCAGATATTTATGAGAAACTTAAACTGTCGCGATAGGAATCGAACCATTCACCTTGGATCTTCACCTAAGCCTGCATCAAAACAATGATGTATAGGAAGGTCGCGTTCACGCTACAAACAAACCTGATGCCAATGTTGTTGATTTAGCCATCATTCCCAATAAAACTAATTCTGTGAGAGTACTTTCACCAATCTATCACGTTAAACGAAACTCGTACAGGGGCAGAGACACCCCAGGGAGACTGAGTAATGACGACAGACTTTCTGGGGTTACTCTGATGTATTCGATATCGCATCAATCTCTACCTCGTAACATAGCGGTTTCCCCTACGGCCACCATTTCCCCATATTAACGTATTACTCTCATTAAGATATACTCGATCTGTCTGGTTTGCCGAAGGAGATTATCTCGAACAGATAACGCGCTGCTTTTCAAAACGGATAG